GAGCTTCACGGTAGAGATTTGGGCGCAAAAATGCGAAGTGGTTCATTCCTGTGAGTTTGTGTGAGGGTCTGGAGGGGTGAGGGCTGGATCCCAGCGCAGCAGTAACCCCGGGTCCCCCCTTACCTGCTGTGGCTCTGCCATCCCTTCCCCTCCCTGAGCTGCTGCTGCAGAGCTCCCAGCGTTGTCTGTCTGGAACCCGGGGAGAGGGCGAGTGGTTGGTGTTCTGCATCTGAATATTGTCCTGTTCAAATTGCTTTCGTGATTAATTAAATTAAAAAATACTTTGGGATGTGGCTGAAGATTCAGCCAGAGCATTTGAGTCTCTGCCTCAGTGTGGCTGGGCAGCAGGCCTGTGGCTTTTTCCCGCTCCATCACCCAGGTCCTGCGCTGCCCGGCCCTCGCTGCCTGTCGAGCAGCCCCTGACAGGGGGGTGCAGACCGAGCTCGAAGCGCAGAGGCTGCAGCGTGGAGGCAGTGGGCAGGACTCTGTCCCCCACCCCTGGCAGGCTCCAGCGTCTCTGAAATAATTCAGCCCATGTTGGCAAAGGCAACTGCCGGGCACCAGCCTGGTGCTCCGTACTGCACTGCTGCCTTCCCAGCATCTCCCCCTTGTTCAGTGTGTTTTCCATGTCTCCTCCTTCAGTCTTTTCAGATTAATAGTATTCCAATTCCTGAAGGAAATGCAGAAAAGCGGCATGTTTAATTTTAATTTAGGAAAGCATTTAGGTAGCAGCCTGGTTTCCTCACTGCTGTCAATCAGGTTTTCTCAAGGCTGACATCAATTAGTTTAAAAATATTGAATGTAATTTTGCCTGACACAACATATTGCAGCCACTGCAAAATATAATTTATTTTAGAAGAAGAAATAATTAAACTAATTTGCATGTCAGTCAGCTGAGCTGGAATACCGAGGAGAGACGCTGCAATGGAAGATGACTTTTTCCTCTCCTGTCGCGCTCAGTCTGGCACGTGCGACCCTCCGCCCCGGCCGGCAGCCGCCTGGCAAAGCCCCTCGCGGGTGCGTTCCAGCGCCTTCCCGCAGCCCCCACCCGCTCCGCAGCTCTGTGGTAGGTGCCCGTGAGCCGGAGCTCGTGTGCCTGGGGGGGTGCACCTGCGCTTCTCTGTGCAGAGAGGTCGGAGCTTTTGGCCTTGCAGATGCGCAGTCTGCACGGGTCAGGCACATCGTGCCTTGCTTCACGCCTCTCATCACGGAGGTACTGCAGCAGTCTTTAATCACGCTTCTGACCATCGTAAATTCAGTTTATGCCACACAGTTACAGAAAACATTTCAGAGATGTTTTGGAGATAACTTTTTTCAAATACATCCAACCATTTTTTGTATTTTCCACCCATAAATCCAGGTTCTGGCTCAAAGGAAGAGGAAGGTTGATAAAGAAAGCATTTGAGGAACCTGCAAATAGATCCCAGTACAGGCAAAACAAAAAGAAGCCGACGTGTAGCTCACTGGAAGCACAGACAATGATGCGATGGTTGCATTTCTAACCTTGATGTTCTTGGAGACGTCAGATTTTAACCCTGTCACTGAGCTAGGGCAAGCGTGGGCCTCAGGCTTCAGCAATTTCAGAAGGGGCAAAAGGAGAGCTTTTTTATGACAGGGTGCATTTAGAAAGGACAACTGTGCTTTGAGCTGCGCTCAGAGAGCGGGATGTTAGTTACGGCTCTGGCAGAGGGGTCACGCGCTGCGCCGTGGCGCGTGGATGACCCTGCTCACGTGTGCGGCATAAAACACTCCTGGAGCTGCCGGCTGATGCTGTGGAAGAGGACAGCCCTGTGGTTGTGCCCAGCTCCAAATACGCCGACCGTGTCCCCCACCAGGTCTGGGAGAGGTGCTCGTGAGGGGAAGCTGCTGTTCTTGGGCTCACCTGGGTGTCCTGACTCGGCCCCCTGGCCCCGCTGTGCCGAGCGGTCCTGGGGAGGGTTCGGCAGCACTGGGAGCGGCTCCTGCTCCCGGCCAGCTCGGGCACCGGGGGGCACAGGGGACGAGACAGGCTCCCGGGCTCTTCTTCCTCACTCCTCTTGCTTCCTTTCCTCTTGTTCCTTCTGGCAGTGCCTCCAGGGCCGTGCCAGCCTTCAAGCCAAGCAGCAGGGGCAGTTGTTCATCTCCTGCAGGCTGAGGAGAGGGTGATGAGATGCAGTTATCCTTCTTGCACGAATTGAACCCTTTTTCCTCCTGATGGCTTGTGGCCCCGGTGGGCATCCGGCACACCCCTCCGCCTCCCCCGCGCTCCCTTCCCACCCCGCTGCCTCCCCCTTCCTCTCTGCCTGAAAGCAATTGCAGTTTATTTCACTGCACCAACATGCCTTTTAAAATAACACATAGTTCCAGGCTTTTAGTCACGACTTCTGCCTCCCTCCCCCAAAAACAACCATCTAATCACCAGAGCAGCTGGTCTGGGTGAGAGGGAGTGATAACGCGAGAACAGGGTGAAGGCAGCTCTGGGGAGGGGGCTTAGGTTCCCAGCTAATTATGGAGCAGCGCTAAATCTCCTCTCCCCTAGGTCCTCCCCCACCTGATCCGCGGGGGCCAGCATTAATTTTACAGACAAACAAGCAGCAGAGCTCCTGCCCGAGCGAGGAGAGAGGCAACGGGTCTTTCACAGTTGCAACCTCTGGCTAAAACAAAGGAGATGGAGTATGAAGTTCTCGTTTCTGGAAGCGCATGAGGTGCTTCAGAAAGCATGAGGCCCTTCAGAGTGATTTGTAATCTCGCAGCGAGGCTTGGCGTACCTTTCTGGCGCGTTTGTGGAGCAGAGCAGCGCTGCAGTGAATGGAGCTGTCGGTGCCCTCCCTGACCAGCACCAGCGGGTGCCTGTGTCCCACGGCGGGGAGCGGGCTGCGAGCCCCTGGGACCGCTGCCTGGGGAGGGCAGGGGTGGAGGGGCTGCCCTAGATCTCACTGCATGACCCCCTGTGCCTGCCGGCAGACAGTGCTAGGTTCAAGTTCAAGCTGCTGATGGTGATGCAGAAACCAGTGTCAGTGTGCACGGCCCCGGTTTCCCGGGCAGGAGCCTTGAGCCTTGGTGGGGAGCATCCAGCCCTGGGTCCCCCGGCTGCAGTGAGGTGCACATGGCAAGTTCCATCACCCCCATGCTCTGGGTTGATCCCAGCTGTTTCACAGCCTGGCTCTGCTTTGGCCTCTCAGCTACTGGGGCGTGAGGGTCGGGATCCAGCTTGGGCTATGATGTTCTCGTGTCTGAATTCTCTTGTCCCCTCTTGGTGCTGCCCGGCTGCAGCAGATGCCCATCGGTGGTGAGTGACCTGGAGCAGCTCAGGACTGCTCAGCTTTTCCCCGGGGTAGATGGGGCCAGCAGCAGCGTTCCGGGGGTCCTTGGGGGCTGCACAGCAGCCGGGTTTCTGTGCTGGAGCAGGGCTGGGGGGAGGCCGAGCGATGCTCTGTGCCGCGGGCAGGCAGGGCTGCGGTGCTGCGCAGCCGCCCAGGACTCTGGATGGACGGAGGCAAGGAGGGTTCGCTCCCGGCGAGCAGCAGATGATGTTTTCTGCTGAAGCTCTGCTTCGTTCTTTGTTTCAGATAATCACTCGCAGGTGTCCAGAGCCTCTCTCCGTATTCGTATCCTGGACGTGAACGACAATCCACCCGAGCTCGCCACTCCTTACGAAGCTGCTGTGTGTGAGGATGCCAAGCCAGGCCAGGTAGTGGGTGTCCCCCAGCCCTTCTCCCAGTCTCCACCAGCACTCACAGCAGCCCCATGCTGTGCCGTGCTCTGGAGTGGTGCCAGCCTGCCCGTCCTTCCCCTGAACATCTCCCCGTGCAGCTGCTGCCACACTGGGAGCTGCTTGGCTCGTCCCTCAGCCGAGCCCGTCAGCAGGGGCAGAGGCTCCTCCCTGGCTGTGGCAGAAGCTGGTGATGCTCTGCTGGGCCGGACCCTGCGAGCAGGGCTGCGGAGGCAACGCCGATTCTCACCTCTGCTTTCTCCCCACAGCTGATCCAGACAATAAGTGTTGTGGACCGTGATGAGCCTCAGAGCGGCCATCGTTTCTACTTCACACTGGCACCTGAAGCCACCAACAACCACCATTTTTCTCTGCTGGATATCAAGGGTAAGCCCTGCGCCGCCCATGCCAGTCCTGCAGCCCCCAGGCTGGCTGTGGGGAGGGAGGTGGGCGCTGGTGATCTGTGCCTGATGGAGCTGTGGATGCTTTGGGCACTCTGCAGGGCTCCTCGCTGTCCTGAGATGGTGGCACTGGGCAGCTAGCGGTTCAGATTTCCTCATGGAGGCTCTGTCAGCTTTCTCCTCTGCTGCAGACAGGTCCAAAGCTCCCCTCGTGCTGCCTGGTTAGCCTTCTGTGTTTTCAGGGCTCTTGGTCCTTTTCTTGATGCAAAACCTCCAACCTGCCTGCAGGCAAGGAGATGATGTGGATTTACCGATGAACATGCCCGTGTTTTGAGCATTATGATTTATCCCTCTCCAAGGTAAATCCTGGAGCGTGGGTCATCCTGGAACCGCTGGGCGGGCGGGCAGCCCCCGTACCCCCAGCGAACGGGAGCCACTTGGGAGCCCTGGGAGGCAGCGGGGCTGTGCAGCAGCTGGCCCTCGGCCCTTGTGGGCTACCGGGACGTGGCCAGCGGAGCCGGATTCCCCGCGGGCTGGTGGCTCATCACCCCAGTTCCTCTGCATCTCCTGAGGCTTGTCCTGTCCCTCGGGAAGCGCAGCCGAGCAGGGCCTGCCCATTCCTCTGGGGAGCTCCGGGGTTCTTTACGCCTCTGGCTGAGCAGCTCCTGACAGCTCCATCCCCTCCTGCTGCTGGACCACTGGGCGTGATGCGGGTTTTGCTGGCTGAGCCCTGGCTGCTATTTGGCTTTGCAGACAGCAAGGTCAGGCTGCGTTTGCATGGACAATAACAATCCAGAAAGGTAGTTATTAGGCTGCTTCCTGGTTCTGGCTGGTGTTTTGGGTGTATTCAGGTGCTGATTGCAGCAGTAAGTGGCAGCAGTGACCCTTGCAGATACTGGGATCTTCTCCAGCCAGACATGCACTTACTTGTTAAAGGGCCCAGCCCAAATAGAAGCCAGTAGACCACATTGAAATGCTGCTTTGTTTTGAGGGGCTTTTCAAACCATTTTTTTCCTTTGTTTTTGCAGCTTCATCTGTGAAAGGTCTGATTTAGTTTGTTCTGAGCTTATCAGAGGAGCCTTCTGCTGACAGAATATCCTGATAGCTCAGTTGGTTTCAGCATTATTAGGGATAGTCAAAACACAACTGGCAGCAAAAAGTTTTAGGCATAACCCTGGAAAGACTGACACTGCTTGGTGTCCTCAAAAGCACAGCTGTCCCTGACCCAAGTCCCTCCCGCTGCACTCACAGGGCAGTTGTTCACCAGATCTTTGCTTCTTATTGTGTAGGTCAGCTTTAGTTCTCTGCAAGATTTTGCCCCGTACCCAGCGATTAACTTCCTTCTCTTCCTCTGAAGGACCTTGTGCAAATGTGCTTGAGTGCACCGAGTTACGCCCAGTGCCCACCCCACCTGCACCCCCTGGCACGGGGCTGCACCCCCTGCTCCACCGCCCCGGGCCGTCACCGCTGTGCTGCGTGGCGGGAGGCTGCAGGACACAGGTTCCTGCACTGCCGATTTCTCTCGAGCTGCTGCTCTCTTGAGTGGGACGAGGCTCTCGTTGCAGAGGGTAATCCTTCGTGCTAAATGATCCCACAAACCTTGCATGTGGTGCAACACTGCATAAAATGAGTAAAAGCTGGCATCACCTCCCGCCTTCTGCTCTCGGGAAAACAACTGCTGTTGCTGCAGGGTTATTCCCAGGGTGTTTGGAGACCCTCCCAATTGCCAAGCGACGCTGTCTTCCTCAGCAAGAGGAGGCGGCTGCCTGTGCAGATGGTGGCACCCCTCCTTCTGATGTGAGTGCGTCTTGGTGCCGTCCCCCTGCCTTTGAGATCTCCCACCCCGCCTCTCCAGTCCATTGAGCGCCCTGGGCGCCCTCACTTTTGCCCCTCACTCTCATGCGTTCCCTCGCTGCACCCTCCTTTGTCCCCCACTTGCTTCCCTCTCGTGTGTTCACCCCTCTTGCACTTGTCTCTGCTCCTCCATATAAATATCAGTGGTGACAAACTGCTACCACCAGCCCATCTGTTTCTTTGTACAAATTTGTAGCCAGTTTTGAAACGTGATTTATAAATATTGCTTTTGCAGCCAAGGAGTGACACTGATGGATGTCAGCACAGATGGATTCGCTAAGCTCTTGCTTAAATCCTTCTCTCCCTTGCTTTGCCCCGACTTCCCTCAGCTCCTGCAAGGCAGCAGAAAGCCACTTCAGGAGAGTGACTTGTCCTCGGCACGCAGGGACCCACGTCGCTGGGGACTGCTCCCGTTGGGGTTCACCGGGCAGGGCAGGCCAGTGGGGAGCCGCGGTGGTCACGGCCAGGGGGCTGCGGGCTGCTGGGGAGGCCGCTGCGATGGCCCCTGCGCAGGGGGCTCCGGGGGCTTCTGGTGCACCCCAGGGAGCAGGGGAGCGCAGCGGGGGCTGCTTGGGCAGGCACGAGCGGGTGGGGAGAACCCGGAGTGCCTG